TTTATCTATTTTTAATTTTTTTAATGATCACGAACTCTCCTTATGGTTTCAAGTAATATACAAGACCCAAAAATATTTTTTGTAAATAAATCTAAACAATAAATGAGTATTTTTATTTTTAACTAGGATTTCATGTTTATATATATGTACATAAAAACATTTTAAATTTTGTTTCCTACATATATTTTTATTTCAAGTTTATGTTTATGTTTCATTGCAGTCGTACTTTTGTTTATTGTGCTGAATAAACTGTGGGGTCAGCAGCGTGAACTTTGTATGTTTTCCGTAAACTATCTCACCCCTTTTGGGGGTCACTCTCATTCAGCCCAACGTGGGCACATTTGAACATTACTGTAGATATGATAGTAAGAAAGCTTTTCGGTACTTGAATATCATTTCTTTGAACTTTCAAACAAGTTTATTTCAACATATGTCCTTGTATGTTGTTTCACAATAGAGACAAAACTAATTGCCACTACTAACAAATGTATGTAACAGTTTATAGTACAGGTGGTTTCAATAAACACCGCCTCAGCCTGATGCCTTGTTACTTGATACATCCTGTTAGAAGAGATTAACAAACAATACAGACACCATAAATTACAAAGAAAATTATTTTACAGCACTTAAAAGATTAGTACTGGTCACATTCCTCTCATTATAGGAAAGATTTACGTTGGAATTCGAAACATTAGCTCTTCAATGTATTGAGACCCCAACTGTGAGAATGTCATAGTTTCCCTATATTATTGAGATGAATGTATTTAGCCTATTTCACAACCAACATATGGGTTTTATTGTTGTCACTTGTACACTGAGTTTTAAACCATTTGCAAAATAATCAGAATAAACTATATATATATATATAATATCAGTTAGACTGTTTTAATTCTAAAGCAGCAACAACAACAACAGAAGTTTGGTCTTACTACAAAGTAAAGATAGTAAGAAGGAAAAATATAAAATTCTTATGTGATACTGGTACTAGTAGTAGTACATACAAATCACACAAGGTTATCATTCTAAGTATACTGAATCATATTTTTTATTATGAACTAAATATAAAGTT